TATATTCGTTATCAGGACCTCAAATAACCCCTAAACGTAAGTTTTCAGCAAATTTGGTGAAAACACCCTTGGCGCCAAATGGCGCCAGCGCCAAAAATGAAGGTCATATTCGTTATCAGGGCATCGAATTACCCCTATAGACGAAGTTTCATCGAAAGTTAAAATTTTGAATTTTTGGGGTTGTAATAGCGGAATAGTAACGAAATGTGGTTTAATCAAGCCATATGTTTTCAAACGAGAAGCGCAGGGTAAAAAATGTGTTTACAAGAGCGGCGGAATTTAATCAAACACGGAGGCTTGTAAGCACTAATTTGGGCTAGAGATAATGCCGTGAATGTCGCAGGAGAGGGAGGAGCTAAAATGATAAAATAGAGGTGACACCCTCTATTGGTGTAAAGAATTCCTTTGTGGGGTTGTAAAGAAGACTCGTGAAGAGCATGGCCGGGTTCTACAAACCGCCTAGTCTGTTTTCTGTTCTAGAAGAGCTGGTAATAATAATGCGCGAGTCGCAGTTTTCTACGTTTTTAAAAGCAGGGCATAAGATTACTGTACTATCTCGAAATACGCAATTGCACAGCGCACAACAGGGTAAAATTACCCCTGTCGCTCGTAGTGTGATTGCGTACAGCTCGCGACTACAGTACCGCACGGCTAAACTTCTTCGCAGTAATAGAATCTGCTGATACAAGTGAATTTTCCTGTATTTTTCCCGTATATCCCATTCTCCCTGCTATGTTCTACTGCAAGTAATCAGAAGTTTCTATTGATCCACTTAATGCAATCGAATCTGCTTGTTTATTATGTTCAAACATAGACCAGTAGCTTTCAAGTGGTGGGCTCATTTAACTGGGTTCTCTTGGTTCGCAACTCGTAGCTCACATGCCACCGCCACATGAAGTGGGTCGGCGGTGCCGGGAACCGAGTGGACCATTGGGTCTCCGTGGGCCGTCGGGGAACCTATGCCCGATGAAGCCTTCGGGGGCCGTAGGGGAACTTATGCCCGATGAAGCCTCGGGATGCCAACCCACTTCGGACCGATGACCCGTGAGTGTCGGGGCATTGGCCCGAAGTCGGGAAACCTATGCTCGATGAAGCATATATAATAAACGGTCCCTATCAACACGTTCTATTGGATGGTTTTATAAATGTTGCTCGCACTTGATCATTAATTTCGGAGAAGGCAGAACAATGAACGTCACCTGCCGATCAGTTTGACGCAGGTGATGGTAGAATATGCGTGAATCGACATTCCCAATATGCTGCCCAAAACTGACCTGACCTTCATCATAACCATGGCTTTTTTGTGCTTTTTCGCAAGCTTTCACCTTTACATAGTAGTTTTCGACTTTCTCCAAGTTTTGTTATAATTGCAATTTTCCAACTTTTACATTGGATTTAGGCAATTTTTAAAATAAAAATACGGTGTTTTGCCGAACGCGTTCAATGGACCTCCCGGCTTCATCGGGCATAGGTTCCCCGACGGTCCACGGGGACCCAAGGGCCCATTCGGTTCCCGGCATTGGCCCGAAGTGGGTTGGCGGTGCCGATCACCCGCCGGCCAACGGCCGAGCCGGGTGGTCCCTTCGGAACGCCTACGGCGTCCCTCGGGACCACCCGACTCGGCCGCTGGCCGGCGGGTGATCGGCACCGCCAACCCACTCGAGCAGGCCTGTGATGACGGTGAACGGCCCTCCCACCCACCGAAGATGCTCTCGTTCTCCATCAACACATGTATCGTATTATTTGCTGTTTTCCCACCCGCAACTTTTTCTCGTGGAGGGCGCAGAAAAAGGGGTGGCAAACTCGATGTACTCGCAATCCTGTAACCACTGGACAGTAAAGGCTGGTCGGCACGGAGACCTAAGTGATTCTTAAGCTTTTCCTTCAATGGCCACTTGTTCGAATAATTTCCATTTTATACCGCTCAGTATCTATTTATACCTAAAACGCACGGTCGCTATGTGCAAACGCATTGTCGCTTAGTGTAAACGCATATCGCCAAGTATAAACGCACCTTCGCTGAGTATAAATGTACTTTCGCAATGGATGGAAAAAGTGCTTCCGTGGCAGTCAATAATCCGGAACGAAACGGTCAAGCCGGTGGAAGCAGCCAGTCTTACATGCCTTGGGGTGGGCTGCTCAGATGCTTTCAGCACTTTAACAAACACTGCTGTTTTTTAGCTTGTATCCGTTGAAGGTAGATGAGACACCCCGGTAAGAATGCAAGAAAGTAGCCCTGAACAGAAGCCGAACCCTATGCCTTTGGAACGAAAGTCTTAACATTTATCCTTTACGCTATAAATGCACTGTTGAGGTGACCATACTTAGCTATCATATACGTCACATTGAATGATTTGAAAGCAAAACGGGACTTTTGGAACATTGCAGTAGACAATACCTCTCATGGATCCGAACCGTGATCCTTGTGAATGTGAGTCCGACCACATATCCACTTGACTACCAAGCCACGGGTAGCTGTGCCTCGATCGTTTCTGTAGAAGTTACAATAGATGACGTTTCACCAGGCCATTTTTCTTCGCCTTTTAAGCATACACCAAAACAGCTCGCATGGGAAGCTTGCCGGAGAAGGACGCTCTATGCAAGATCGTCCCTCAATCGTGCTCGAATTTGGTTTTAGAACCAACGTTTGTTAACATTCACAGCTTTCCCCCGGCGACCGTCCACCTCTCCTACTCACCCGATGCTTGTTCATTGCCCAACGAGCCCCTAACATTGTTGCACCCACCACGTTCGAGCAAAGCCTTCGCAGAAATGGAGCTCGGATGCACCGGACGACATCACCTCGTCCGGCCTACCAACTCTGCGAAGTTGCCGTCTGCTGAGGGTCCAATTCGGTAGCGTAGACGTGGGCACTCTGCTACAACCAACTAGACGACGACTCATTCTGGGCTCTAGAGTGGACTCTAGTGGGGCAAACACCGTATTTCGTGCTGTTCTATAGAGAAAATCTGTCGTTTGGAGGGTAGAAAGAGTGTACGATTGGGGTGAATGAGATGGGTAGACGTTTCGA